CCTTGACGACTGGCCTATCTGACGTCGGTTTAAGCGAAGAGTCGGCCAAACAGCTTCGCAGCTGGCACGCCTACAAGGTACGATCGGTGCTGAACCTGCCGGCTCACACCACTCGGATCACCACTAAGGATCTTTTCCAGCTCTACAACATCCAGGACCCTGTCCACGCACTGCAGTCCAAGCTAAGGAAGCGGCTTCGCAAACTGGAGCGACGCGCAGTGCAAAGCCCGGACATCACGACAGACCCCTCGGTTCTGCAGGTTATCCGAGATAAGCTGTTGGTCCTGTCACAACTCCCTGAGCCCGAGGAACATCCGGTAACCTCATACGAGTGCACGCTCTGCGCGGCTTCATTTCAGACGTCAAATGGACTACATTTGCATAAGTCGAGGGTTCATCCGGCGAGCATTGACCGCTTTGTGCCTTCAAGCTTCGATAGAAAGCTCCACGCTGTGGATGGGATGCCGCAATGTGCGGCATGTAAGCGTAAATTCCATCAATGGAAAGGCCTACGTGACCACTTGCTTTCGGGGGCATGTCCGGAACCTCAGAAGCTCCGTTCACTAAAAGAAGCAGACAAACAGTCCAACCATCCCGATATTAGGACTCTCTTCCAGCTGAGACAGGACATTGCTCTGCTCCCACAACACCGCATCGCGGAGCTCTCGAGGACTGCGGATTCCAAGGTCCTTAATCATCGGTGCTTAACGTGTGACTTCTGGACTTTTGACCACACCAAAGTCAAGTCGCACTTTCGTCAGGCGCATCCTAAGGACTGGTCACGCCTACACAGGCGGGCTGTTAATATCTGTCAGGGCTACTCGCCCCAGTTAGCCAAGGGCCACTCATGTCCCTTCTGTGGCTACAAGGTCTATGACCGCAGACTGCATCCGGAGCAGTGTCCGGTGCTCTATCAGGTAAGCACGCAGTGGCTGCGAGGGCAGCCTGACGCGGACGTCGATCCCGTCGCCCCGCCTCCCAAGCCTCAGACAAAGTCGTTGGCCAGCTTTTTTAGACCTAGATCGAATGGCACAGCCTCCAACTCGTCGAGCACAGCTCGTCATCCTACAACAGACTCGAACCAGGAGTCTGTGGCGCAGGCCCCCAGGAACACAGAGCCACAGCCTACAGGCTTACACAAACGCGTACTGTCTAACACGGCAAACTCCTGCTACGCTAACGCTCTCTTCCAGGCCTTGCATCAAGTATCGAGCTTTGGGTATGATCTGGGTGCTTTTCAATCTGTCTTAACCCATCTCGGGGATGAGAGTGCCCCTAGACTTCTGAACTTGTTCGGCCTGTTTGAATTTCGCCATGCCATTGCCGGTTGGCGACTAGATGGCAGGCAACACGATGTCTCAGAATTTCTTCACCATCTGCAGCAAAAGCCCATGGGATCCCTTCAGCACACTCAGTGGCAGGGTCGTACTGGGGGAATCGTTGAGGAGTCGGATGTGGGAGTCAGTCATCTTCTCCTTCCCCTTCCGACGGGACCTCTGTCTCTCCAAGCCTGCCTAAGATTCTGGGAATCGCAAACTTTTAGTCGAGCGCTGGTATGGGCCCCAGAAGTCCTAGCTGTTGTGATTTGCAGATGGCAAAACGGTGTCAAGAATACCCAGCCGTGTGCCTGGACCGGCCGTGCCATGGTGTCCGTGTGGACATCCAGCGAGCACACTGCCCAACGATCCTACCAAGTCCTGGCAGGAGTTGCCCACTTTGGGGACTCCCTAGCGTCCGGGCACTACCGAGCCTTCTGGCCAGAGGACCCCGCGGATGCGAGATCTCAGGTGTGGATTTGCGACGACTACAAGCTTCCGGAGAGGGCCTCAGCGGCCTTGGTTCAATCACTTTCCCGAAACGTCTACATGCTTTTCTTGCAACGAACTCGTTAGCATCATCGCTTAAGGCGATGCATGCCGGCCCAACCTCGGCCCTCAGGCTAAGCAGGGCGCCCGTGCGTGAGAAGCCCGTCGTCAATTTCATGTTGACGCAGGCCGCCTCACGTCAAGGCCAAGTGTGTCATGAGCGCACGCGGACATGCACACTCTGTAATTTCCTTACTCTCAATCAGCTCTTTTTATTTAGTCAGCTTCCCCCCAGCTCCCTTTGGCCGTCATGACTGCCTCGCCTGCTACTGCCACGAGCCCGGAGCACAAGCATCTGTCGCAGCCGGGTTGAAATGACAACAGAAGGCAAAAGTTGCCATTGTTGTCAACCCTTCCGCCTCAAGCTTCGCGATGCTCTCATCCGACACCCCAGTGTCTTTGGCTCGCGCTTTGAAGGCTGCCGCGCTCTCCCCAAAGGACATGGCTCCTAGTGCTAGGTTCACTCAAGATCAGTCTAGGGCCCAGCACGCCTTGCAATCACTTTTAGCGTCGGCGAGAATGCCGCTCCCTAGTGCGCCACTTTTTAGTCCAGCTTAGTGCTGAATTGCTCTTGCCCCAATATGGGCGCTTCGGCTAAGCACCCATTTTAGTACGGGAGCAATTAGTAAATGTCACAGACTCCTCAAATCCCGTATGGCACAGCCTCTGGGAATTCGGTGCTCTTCCGACGCTTTTGCAAATCTCTTCGGGAGCTGTAGAGCAGCGCGCTAGCCACGGCAAAATGCAGGACACTGCACTTCGCCTGAGCCGATATGGTCAGTCAGCTGTCGGCTGTTTGACTCACTCAGCTCTGCAGGAAACCTACCCAGAATAACGGAAGCAGTCCGAGGAAAGCCAAGAGCATGAGCGTCGCTTATTGGGGGGTAGTCACGACAAGCACTCCGAGTCGTATGTAGGTTTACGCACATGTGACCCTTACGGCCTTCTGTCTCCAGCATGAGTAATCCGTGTGGGACGCCACAAGACGGATACTCTAGGCGCCGGCTTCGCCCGAAGTACGACCTAATTGCTGGGACAGGTGCACAGACGGACGCGTCTGTTCACAACAAGGTGGCGGAGGAGGAAGCCATAGATGTACAGTCTTACTCAACTGAGCGGTTTGAGAGGAATAAGAGCGATGAATGCTAGCAGATAACCAGTTTCACGAGTGCACGGGACCAAAGGCGCCCGCAAAGCGCAGAGCACGCTCGCGCAGCGTTCAATTGAAATAATAGTTGTACTCATAGTAGTAGTAGTAGTAGTAGTAGTAGTAGTAGTAGTAGTAGTAGTAGTAGTAGTAGTAGTAGTAGTAGTAGTAGTAGTAGTAACAGTAACAGTAACAGTAACAGTGACAGTGACAGTGACGGTAACGGTAACGGTGACGGTAATGGTGACGGTGACGGTGACGGTAACAGTAACAGTCGCAGTAACGCAGTAACAGTAACCGTAACCGTAACAGTAACAGTAGTAGTAGTAGTAGTAGTAGTAGTAGTAGTAGTAGTAGTAGTAGTTGTAGTTGTAGTAGTAGTTTTGCCTCTTGCATGGCTGATGGTCGCGAAGCAAGGTTGATGGTCTGCAAGATGGTGAATTCAGAGATGACTTTTATCTCTTATACGCAATATGGGAGTTTCCGAAAATAGGGGACCCGAATATGGTACGCTAGTAGGATCCTTATTATGAGGACCCCCAAATAAGGTACCCCTATTTTCGGAAACTCCCATATAGTGTCCACCAGTAGTAGTAGTAGTAGTAGTAGTAGTAGTAGTAGTAGTAGTAGTAGTAGTAGTAGTACTAGTAGGACTAGTAGGACTAGTAGTACTAGTAGTAGTAGTAGTAGTAGTAGTAGTAGTAGTAGTAGTAGTAGTAATAGTAGTAGTAATAGTAGTAGTAGCAGTAGCAGAGGCAGCAGTAGCAACAGTAGTAGCACCAGTACAGTGTGCCGGGAAAAAAGGTCCGATATCCGACCAAGAGCGTACGCGTCAATCCTGCTAATCTTGCCTTTCCGAGGGGGGCAACATTGACACCAAGCTTGCCTAAAACCCGCTTGCACCGCTAAACCACTTGCACCACTTGTACCGCTTGCACCATTTCTCTTCGTGAAATGATGCAAGTGGCGCAAGTTATTTAAGTGGTCTCAGTGGTGCAAGCGGTGCAACCGGTGCAAGTGGTGCGGGATTGCAAAATTTGCAAGATTGGCGAAAATGTTGCTCCCAAACAGCGCGCTTCGTTTCCCAGCACAATGCAGTAGTAGTAGTAGCAGTAGTAGTAGTAGTAGTAGTTGTAGCAGTAGTATAGTAGTAGAAGAAGTAGCAGTAGCAGTAGCAGTAGGAGTAGGAGTAGGAGTAGGAGTAGTAGTACTAGTAGCAGTAGCAGTAGCAGTAGTAGTAGTAGTAGTAGTAGTAGTACGTAGTACGTAGTACGTAGTAGTCGTCGTGGTAGTGGTAGTGGTCGCGGTAGTGGTAGTGGTAGCGGTCGCGGTCGTGGTAGTAGTAGTAGTAGTAGTAGTAGTAGTAGTAGTAGTAGTAGTACGTAGTACGTAGTACGTAGTACGTAGTACGTAGTAGTCGTCGTGGTAGTGGTAGTGGTCGCGGTAGTGGTAGTGGTAGCGGTCGCGGTCGTGGTAGTAGTAGTAGTAGTAGTAGTAGTAGTAGTAGTAGTAGTAGTAGTTAGTAGTAGTAGTAGTAGTAGTAGTAGTAGTAGTAGTAGTAGTAGTAGTAGTAGTAGTAGTAGTAGTAGTAGTAGTAGTAGTAGTAGTAGTCTCAGTAGTAGTATCAGTAGCAGTAGCATTGGTAGCAGCCGATGTAGTAGCAGTAGTAGTAATTAGTAGTAGTAGTAGTAGTAGTAGTAGTAGTAGTAGTAGCAGTAGTAGTAACAGTAGCAGTAGCAGTAGCTGTGGCAGTAGTAGTCGTCGTAGTAGCAGCAGCAGCACCAGCAGCAGTAGTGGCAGGCGCCAGCCGTTATATAGGGCACAGGAGGACGGGCTAGGAAGTATCTCAAACCACAAGACGTCACGGAGTATTGCTAGTGGCAGTAGTCGTCGCCGGAGGGACTGGAAGCAATAACCAGCCAAGCAGCCGAAAGAGCGAACGTCAGCCCAATAACTCAGGTAAGGATTCGGTAAGGATGGTTCCTTGCCTCCTGTTCTCGGAGGATGCTTTCGATGGCCGATCGCAGTCGCCGTGTATCTGGAGGAGCTTCCTCAGAATAGCGTGCCTCCTACATGTGCAGCTCCACTGGAAGCCCACCATGATTCCATAGTGGTGTTTGACCGAGTGGCAAGGGCTGGGCACTACTCTGTAGTGCGATGTGACCAGTGGAACTGCCACCAGAGACTCGCAAACTCCCTCGCGAAGTGCTTGTGCCGACAGAGGCAAGGTTCCAGCATGAGATGCTGTGCAGGACGCAAACTTCTCTCAGAGTACGTGTTCCAGTGTTGAGAAATTGCGAGTGCTTGTCCGGGTGCCACTGTGTTACTGCGACATAGGCGGAGATCGAACGAATTTTGTGTTGCTTACTTCGCAGAACGTGTAAACAAACAGTGCACGTCTTACAACATGCGTGGCGAAGGTGTCTGCAGTGCACCATGGCATCATCTTCGCGCCGTGCCCTTCAGAACTGTATGGATGACCTTTCAGTTGGCGATGGACACCTAATGACGAGCGAAATCTGCTGCAAATCCTGCTTTAGAGCCTAAGCCTGCCGATATACCTAATCTTCCGACTTGCACCGTTTTCCGAAGCTTCTTTACAAACCTTGGTTGTCCCTGGGCCTGGTGACTTGGCAGCCACTCAAGCTCTCAGCACGCTCCTGTTCACGGCCATCTGCGAACAGTTCTGCGATTTGACAGTTCCAATGTGTGCGTGGCTGGGTGAAGGCCCAGAGATATCACAAACACGAGTGGCGAGCCACGCATCCGACAATGCCTGGAATGCTGCGGCAGGATGCTGACATTGGAAAAGGCCGACTGTCGGCATTGAAGATGACTAGCAACAGGTTGCGGAAGTATGGCTGTGGTGTCGAACCCTAAAATGGCCCTAAAATGTGTGAATTTGGCATAATTTGGCCACGGCTCGGACCAGCGATCCAGACCAGGTGCCGCAGTCTCTGTTTTCCTGCTCTGTCGGAAAACCGCCGTCTGCACAACTCTGATGGAATGTTGATTTCAGCAGCATAGATGCCGGCCTGTCGGGTTTGCTGAACGGCAGCGGCAGGAATGCGTCCTCACCCAGAAAATAGCCTGGGTCATGAGGCAAGACGTCGCAAATAAGGCGGTGGCGATGCAGGCAAGAAAGATCAGCACACACACACACACATGCACATGCTTAATGCGTTTGAAGAAACCAGCCAACAATGCCGCCATCAAAGCTTTGCTTCGCCTGCGCGTCTCCATGGCCTGGTGGACAAACAAGCTCTTACAAAGAACGACGTGGCCCAAGCCTGCCCTACCATCGCATGTGCACGAAAACAAATCTGCTGCCTCAGGAAAAAACAGAGCGGAAGCAAAAACACGGATGAGAAACAGAACTTGGAAACAGTGCAAAGCTCAGATCTGCATCATAATGTTGCCGTGGCTCGCTGTATCCCAATGGCATAACAGGGGCAAGTGCAAGCAGAAAGAGACAAACACATTGACCAATCGACAGACGAACAAGTTCCGATCAAGCCGCCAAGCTAAGACAGTTCCCACAAGTGACCAGTGGGTACAAAACACGCAGGCGATTGTCTTTTCACCGATCCTGTTAGCGCATATCTGCATGATGGCAGCCAGCGAAACGGAGCAAGATTCACATCAAGAGGTTGCACTTGGCCACTAGGTCTACAACATGCACACTGCGCGGCTTCTAGCCTCCGGCGCGAAACCCTCAGAGCATCGACCAAGCTGTCTTCCCGAAGTGATAGAATGAGTCTACGAGCCCCACGGCATCCCACGGCTTCTGCTTCACTGTGGCTTCTCGTCAGGCATTGGGACCAGGTATCAGTTGAAGGCACAGGACATCCAGTAAAGTGCAGCAGCAGAAGTCATCAACGCTAAATGCGTCCACAATAAACTGAGGCCTGGAGCCTAGGCGAAACACTGGGCAGTCAGCTTCTTGCTGTCACTCGCGGTGTGTGTACAATATTCTTTGTATCCTGCTGGGAAACCCATGAACGAAAGCATGTGATGCAAAGTCTTGGGGAGTGCGCTTCACGGCTGCCAGGTGTGACTACTGCGTCGAAGGCCAAAGTATGCCGAGGTCACAGTTGTGAGAGTCTTGGTGTTGTTTCATGCCCCTTCGATCACATTGTCTCCACGATGCAAGAATAAGTTGCGGCTGCAGGAACTTGCATGCAGGGCCGGCTAATCACGACTGAATTTATCGGCTTCAGCAGTGGTGTTGTCAAGCTCTCGGGTTCTTCCGAAATCAAGAAGCTTCAGCAAAGACCGTCGGCCTGCAGCTGAGGCGGTCAAGCATAGACCTGGAAACGCCGCAGGAACTCTCTCCAAATCCATGCGCAACACGCCCGCGCGGTCAAGTCAGCCTGTGCCGAATTCACATCAGCAGTAGCAACCCCGTATTTGCATGTCACACATTCAAGGTCGAGGTGGCTTGGAGAAGGCGTGAAAAGGCTCAGGCTCTGTGTCTGGATTACAATTAAGAGTTGCTATGCTCAAGGTTCTCGACAGCCAGGTGTGATGAGAATGCCGCGAGCCAAGAAGGGCTATAAGCGAAACGGAACTTGTCTGCACCGCATAACTGATATGAGGTTGGTAGCACGTCTGCTTCACGCTCCCTCTTACCGGTACTTCTCTGATTCTCGGTACGGAAAACAAGGCAAGGATTGACGACAACTGGTCCTGCAGCACTGTAGCAGCCTCTGGCAAGGGGGCCCTCGTAGCCAGCAGGAAGATTAGAGTAGTGGCAACCAAAGGAGAACAAAGGGCGCGAAACTTGGGGCGTCAATGCAGAGTACAGCAGAAAATTATGCCAGAGAGTCCACGGAGAACTGCGGCGGAGATCTGTGCGGCCAAGCAAGAACGGCAAGCCTGCGTGTCAGTAATGAGAAGTGGTCACGCAACAAAAGTTGTTCCTTTTTGCACTTTTTTGGCGGGTCCTGCACTTGCGCATGTATTTTGTGACATCCTATTGATGGAGAAACTGTTGTCGCCATAAAGAAACCTATTATTCCATTTTCTCGTGATTTATGTAGGTCATGGTTCTGATATGTTCCGATCATCATTTACCATGTCATCATCATGCTCGTAATCGTTTTCCTTGCCATTGTAGTACCATTTTCATAAATTTATTACTGTTTTTCGTCGCTTGGTGGAAAAGGTCGGGGAAAGGGTGCGCGGGAATCCGGAAGTCTCGAAACATGAGGCAAGGGTGAAGAAAAAAGTGATGAAAAAGACAGGAGAGTGTCGGCGTGCGGGGGCGCTAATCCGTCTATTCCACTCGTGCCACTCATTCCACTCGCTCCACTCGTGCCACTCGCTCCGACCGTTCCACTCGTTCCACTCGCCCTGTACGTTATAATTGCTTGTTCCACTCGTTCCTTTCGCCTACAGCGCGAATGGCGGGTGGCGCGAGTGACGCGATTGGCTCGCCCTAAGGCTCTAAGGTCTCAGATCTCAAGCTTTTGGGCTGTTTTGAGCCTCAGGGTCGAGTGGTGCGGACGACTTCAATTCCTCTCCCTCCCTAGTGCGGTTGCGCTGTTCTGCGTGTGCCAATGAATCAGTTTGTTCTGTTCGTTCCACTCGCACCGTGCCCTACCTGTTCCACTCGTTCCTGTTAAAGTAGCTGTAGCGCGAGTGGAGGGGCGCGAATGGGCGAGTGGCTCGAGTGGCGCGGACGACTTTAGTGTTCCCCCCCGTGCGGTTGCAATGAAAAAAAGAGAGTGTCGGCGTGGGGGGCGAGGTCTTCCACAAAAAGTCTGACATGACAAGCAACATGATGATGGAGTCAGGAATGAACAGAGGAATGGAGAAAAACGAAGCCCCTAACACTGACAGAAATGATAATAACATGGACTAATTATTCAACATCCCTAATTTGACAATGTGCACATGCCCAAGAATCTCAGAATATCATCTGCGAGGCAAATGTTTTAATTTGTTGGCAGTCGTCTATTCTACTTGGCCCTGCCAGTGTTTTCAAGGGTTTCGCAGAAGGGACAAGCCTGGCAGAAGTACCATCCCTTTGAGTTTACTGCTCCAGGAAGACGGCCTGCTCCAGTCAACTTGCAGGAAATACTACTGCACGCGCCGGCAAGCTGGGCCTAGACCCAAAACTTACAGCCGTCTGAGAGGGCTTAACATATAGCTTGGCCAACATCTGCCGCGAGGTGCATCACTCACCGTTCGACATGGTTTACCCGAGTCTTGCGGTGAAGGGCACCCTGCTCTGGAGGTTCCTTTACGCTCTCGGAATATGTGTGCACTGGGCAGGAAGAGCGAGAAACGAGAAAGTTTGTCTAGGGCGGCGGCTCGGTACTGGGAATAAATTTTGGCTGTGTCGACCCAGCTGGCACATGTGGAAGACAAGGGGTCGTCTTCACACTGACTCACGGACCACACAACAGTGCTTGTGCCAATGCGGCAAACAGATGGCAAACAAAAGGCGTGCAGGGCCGGAAACCTTTTCTCATGCGCAAAGTGAGAGTGTGCACCGCACAAGAGCTGGACAACAGGGATGGTGCCCAATTCTGAGAAAGGAAAGACAGCCAGACTTAGGTAAACGCCGGCGCTTTCAGTGTCGTAGCGTGCAAAGTTCAACGGGAGTGATCTTGACATTCCTGTGCATGTGATGTCCGAGAGATCGACGCACGCAAAAGGCAGTGGTAGGGCCACAGCATTCGGAGCTCAGCAATAAGAGGCTCACTCGTTGCTTCGAGTTGTCGTTTACGTCTTGCAGTCGGCTCGAACTTGCAGAACATGTTTTGGTCTTCTGGCACGCGCAGTCGCAGTGCCATTCTCAGCCTGCTCACGTCCCGCAAAGGAAAGAGTTCTCACATATGTCAGCTCCACTTGGGTTGCCGCCCCTGCTCACTTTGCACTGCACGGCTCGCGACCCTCGCCGGACGTAATGACCTTCACATTCCGTCAAAGACTGCAGGGCGCAATCGTCGCCCTCTTTGCCGACTTGGCTCCCGATACACTCGGGCAAGCAATTTGGCCCGGTCTGGCATGTAACTTCCAAACCAACGGGCTTGCCGGGCTTGGGCTGGCATTGCACAAAGCCATTCGCAGCACCGGAGCACCTGCGCAGGTTTGTGACGGTTTGTGACTTATGAAGGCTCTGCTGGCTCTGCTGTGGTTTGGACGCTCCCGCCTGTGATAGCCCGAGCATGTGAGCTGACCGGCACACGGGTCACTCGCTGGCACTTGGCTGGGACACCTCGGATGTGGAGCCCACAAGCACCATTGCCTCCGTTCGACAGCTGGACTCCGACAGACTAGACCCCTCAACTCTGTGTACTGTGTACCCTTCTCTCATGCTGTTCCGCCTGGTCCGACACCTTACCTCATGAGTCCTGAGGCTAGCCGGCGAGTACTGTTCCAGTATGCAAGTAGAAGCCACTGGCGAGAAGTACAGGAAATTGGCACACCGACTTGCTAGCAGCCTTCCAACAGCTCCGCCAGAACAGAAGCTTGTCCCCTGAACAGAAGCCCTTATTCTGCCACACTGTCCAGTTTACTCTATGGCTGGAGTCTCGATTACCCCCACCCAGTGACTGGAATCACCGATGTGGTAGCCTAGCAGCATCTCGAGGAAAGAACCACGGCAGCATGTCGGGCAAGTCTGACTGGGTATAGCGACCGTTTTCACTGTCCATGGCCTGAGTCGCCACGGCTCATACCCAAGTCCACACCGAGTGCCTGCGTAAGATTGGGTGACCCGCAACCAAAAATCTCATCCATCCGCAGTTTGTACTCCGCACATCCCCTATCCCTCTCGTGCAGGTACCGAACGCGCCGAGGCGACAAGGGGTTGGGAGTAGGGAAGGCATCCAACGCGCGCGACAGGATTTCATTTTAGTGGGGCGCCGGTAACCCGCAGAGCGGTGTGAAAGAGCGGAAGCAACATCCCACATCCTCAAAGCATCTCAAAGTCTAGTTGACAGGTACCTGACCCAGGTGCGGGGGTGGGGGGGTGAGTGGATGGGTGGCCAAGGCACGCGAAAGGATTCACTCTCGGGGGTACTTCTGTATTGAAAGGGGAAGCAACTAACCCGCACGGGTACCAAGCCGCCAAGAGGTATTGAAGGAGGAAGCAACATCCCACATCCTCCGGTTGACAGGAACCAAGTACCTACGAGCGGTGGGGCTAAGCCCCAGCAGGTCGCGTTTGAGTCACATGAAGAATAGCGGAACCCCATGTGCACATGGCCCGGACGGTGGCTTCAGCACGACATGTATATAACGGAATAGTACAAGGTCTGCGTGTCGCAAGTATTCGGGCCCTTTGTGGTGGTAGATGCAGCATACATGAGTCATGGAAGCGCTGGACTATGCTGGACTTAAGTCGACCCAGGCCGCATGAAGTCGGTCCCCCGAATGTCAAGCATTGTCAAGCCCAGAGTCGTGTGAAGTCGACCCACCCACACAAAATCGACCTACACAATGCGAAACTGCAAATACAAGGTGGGTTTGAAGGAGCACAGCCCTACATATCAGATCTGCATGTGGCTCGAAAGTCTTTTCAAAATTTCAACAAAGGGTGCAACAGTGTACTTGCACTGAAACATGCGCAAAAAGCACGCTGCGTTCTAGTGCGAGCTACCCAAGTGAAAATTGCAAGCGCACGCTGCAGTGACTGTCGGTGGTTGGGGGGTATCCAGCACGCGCGAATTCCCTCTTGAGGCGTACACCGCGCAGGTAAGCCGCGGGGAGGTGTTGACAGAGGACGCAAATCCCACATCCCCGGGTTGACAGGTACATAACCCGCTGAGGTGGGTGGGGTAGTGTCCATCCGAGTCGCGAGTCTGCTGCAGGCGGTTGCGCATTTTTGTCCTCTCCACATGTCTCACTAGCACTCTCGGCACTACATCGCCCGGAAGAATGATTGCGAGATAAACCCGAGCTTCAGAAGTCCTGCGCGACAGAAAGGTGGGTCGTACGAGCTGCTAAGGCACCCCCTTGCTGTATGGCAGAATAATTCTGCAGTTGAAAATTCCTTGCTGATCCGCTTGACTCGCTTGACCAAAGCCTGTGCTGGTCACCGGTAAGGGCTTCCACGTTGCGCAGTGGATGCAATGCATCGGCTGCCGATTCAATCTCAGTTTCCCCAAGGTTCGCCACGTCGCTTGCAGACAGTAGCGGGTTCAGAGAATGTGCGGCACCTGTCGTTTCAACGACGAAGGCTGCAAGAAGTACCTTTAGCAAACGAGATTCCATTTCTAGCAGGATCTCCACGCTCAAGGCTCGATCCTGATAGCTGCGATGGATGGCATGGTTGAGCCTGACTGCATGATGCAGTCGGTCCGGACACCCCAAAGCTTGAGGCAAGATGCCCCAAATCGCATAACATGCACACCCAATTTCCAGCTACATCCAGCATGTGACATGTGACTCTTGTTGCCTGCAATGTTGCATAGGCTGCCTTTGTCTTTCTTCATGCGAGATCAGGTGAAAATAATGAAAGGTATCATCGCACAGAAGATTGCCACCTGCCATTGCACTGGTGACATTCAGCTGCTTTGAACCGGATACCTGAGTGTGGGGCGGAAATTCCGACCAGAAGCATGGTACCTCAAGGCAGACGCGAAGGAATTCCATGTGGACAACTCAACATACCAACGGAACAGCAGGAGCAGCAGCATGATCAATCCCGAACCAATGTCTTGCGAGGTGCACAGAAAGCTCAACTGGCCAGAGCGAAGCATCTTCTTGCCCTTCTCAGCGTGAGACGAGACGTTGTCTAGACCTCAATGTTCAATGATCGAGTCAGCGGTTCTGGTCGCTGCTAGCCCGCATGTAGCATGTTGTCACATGGCAATTTGTGTTAGGACATAGAAAATGCTGAGACCAAGAGGGCTCGCATACGCGCACCCTATCAAGTTACAAGCTCAAGCGCACCCCGTGCAGTTTGTATATCAGTACTTGTTATGCACACCGTGTTGCTCCTTGTCGTGATTCAGATCAAAAGCAGCCAAGCACCTGAAGCACATCCTTATCTCTGAACCATGCAAGGCTTCAAGCGAGGGACTCCGTTGTTGCGCTGATTGCATGTCCTCAGGCTGACCCAGGCGGCCCCTCTTGCTCCCTGCACTTCTCCTACGGTCCTACCCTTGCGAGGCTGGCCTCCAAGCGCTTGTTGTCCTTTTGCAGGGTCTTCAAGAAAGTGTTCGCGGCACCTCTGCACCACTATGTACTGCATAGTGGGCCTGTTCTTCGGTTGCAGGCCGCTTGCCGATGTTGGCAGCTGTTCTGAAACAGCCTGATGTTGCATCTCTGAGTCCGGCCTTTCATTCCTTCTGCAAGATCTGCCATTTCTGATTCCAAGTTGCTGCGGGCCTCAGACTCTCAGACTCAAACATGCAAAAACGGTAAAGTCGCAACATGCACACACACACACACACACACAAACACACACACACACACACACACACACACACACACACACACACACACACACACACACACACACACACACACACACACACACACACACACACACACACACACACACACACACACACACACACACACCCACACACACCCACGCACCCACGCACGCACGCACGCACCCACGCACCCACGAACGTGCAGGAAGCAAATGCAATAGCACCGAGTACGCAGCACCGTTTCCTGTGGTGCTAAACCTGCAAATTCCACGGATCTGCAGCATTTACAGTACAATATCAATGTCGCGGCGGGCGGTCAGCCTGCTGATGGAGCTCCGGCCTGAAGCAAAGCAAAACTGGCCCCAAGGTCAAAGATCCCATGCACATCGGCCGGTCAGCCTGCTGCACGCCACGGCCTTGGAAGAGGACTCGCATGCAGATGTCTTCCCGGCGGTTCAATGCTGTTTAAAGTGCTATGTTTGTGCTTGCATGTGCTTGCCAGTTTGCCACATGTCCTGCCGGCGCAGACAATGCGTTGCGTCGAATAGGGGAAAGAAACAGCGTCACCATACTGCACACCCAGAACGGGTGCATTGAAATGCACCTCCTCAGTGATGGAATTTCACACTGCAGGTAACGCATGGTAATGCACTGATGGAAGTGCGCAAAGCAGGAAAATCGGGATCGCGCAGGGTAGGGGTGTGGCAACACTGAGGCGACATAGCGGGGGCAACGAACATCTCATATATCCATAATTATCCATATCATCTCTGTCTGTCTCTCTCTCTCTCTCTCTCTATCTCCTGGGCATGGTGATGCGTCACCATCCCGGGCTTCAAAGCCCACCCATTACATTGAATGGGTATTGCGGGGAGTGAAAGACAAGTGTACTGTGTCCTCTATCGGCTAAAGCCATAAAGTGTACGATATCAGATGATGTGGGACATGTACGCGTTCATGAAAATAGAAGTCTTCTGGAGAAACAAAGCTAGGCAGTCTCGACCTCACAGAGCACAATCATGGATGTCTCCGCTTATTTGTACAGGAATCAGGTAACCAAAGGCACATGAATCATGACCTGGAGGAAACATATTGACTGGTTGACTCTGGGAAACTTGTTTGTACAGCTCGGCAGCATTATTCCCCGATATAGCATTTGGAAACACGAAGTAATAGATTTCTCACATGTGGGAGCTGCGAATAAAGGACATCTGTTGCCTGTGCAGTACGAAAACGCATCACTGATCTGCGAAGGCTCTGAAGAAAAAGATGACAAATAATATATCAAGCGACAGTCAACTTCATGGCATCAGGTGAAACCTTGGCATGTTGTGCTACTTTCATCCCCCGTCCTGTTAGGTCCGAAAGAAAAACTGAAAAACCGATCATACTGGTAAAGCATAGGCATAACAGCTTCTCGAAGTAAGGGAATCGGAAGACCTGACAGGTAGACGGGCTTGTCGGACGAACATGGTGGGCGATGACTGCTTTTATTGAATCATAGCAAACTATCTAAATCACGGGCTAGAGTGTCATGAGCAGCAAGCCACCATTGACACGTGAAACATAGTTGCGTACAGTCAATGAGGACGAGTTCCCCAGCTGCCCAGAGTAGTAAAGCCCATGCTAGAAGTTCTCAAGGGCCAGAAACCCAAAGTAAGGTAGTCTAGGTTAGACGACACTCTGGCAGGACGTTCCCCCATTTGGAGAGCATATCGAGCCTCAAGTACAGTTTCGGGCTTGACACATACAAAGGATCATCGGGTTGAGGCTCAAACATTGGTACAATACATCCTCGATTGGCTTGAAGTGGAGGACCAGGGGTCTAATCTCAACAACCAAGAAAACCACACCACAA